CGAGGGCCCGCACCAGGGGCACCCAGCTGCGCAGGCCGGCGCGAGCGCGGCAAGGCAGTCAACATATTGTGAGGTAACGTCTCAAAGCAAACAAGTACGGGAAGGGGTCTGTTTCCTCATAACGTGCTCTTCGTGCTGCCATAGTAAAGCTTTTTACAGGCTTGCTTTATAAAGATCAGCTTTATGAAAAGTAATGATTGTACTTCATTTAAAATATATAGCCATTGCCAGACCTATCAGCTGCATATTATTTATATAAGCTCACCTGCAAGCAGGGAAGGCAAAACACCTTGTGTGACATGGACTTAGGTAGTAGAATAAACCTCATCCTCATGTCACAAGGAGCCACCTTCCTCTCTCCTGAAGATCCCTTTCCTGCTATGCTCTCCTGATAACTAGAGATAATAAAAAGGTCAGACATTCCCTTCATGCTCTATCTGCTGGAAACTTTAATTAAGCACTTCAAAACGGAGAGGGGGAAAAAAAGAAAAAGGAGGGATGGCCTCCACCAACTAGGCGGATCTGGGAAGCACTTGGTGCCAGCTGAGGCTGGGAATACACTGGGGCTGCATCCAGCTGCTGTTGGCAGCCCTCCCAAAGCACCAATTGCTCATGTCCTGCAGCAGCACAAGGGTCACTGCTGCTCAGTCACAGACTGGAGACAGCCCGAGCTGCTCACTGTGGAGCCCCTCACTCCAAAGTGAATTAGTTTAGGGAAAAAAAAAAAAAAAAAAAAAAAAAAAAAAAAAAAAAAAAACACACGTTCTACTCAGTGTCTGCTCAGGGTTGTTTTCCTGTTTCTGCAGCATTCAATCTGCTCAGCCTGACCTGAAAGCAGGTAATTGCAGCATAAGTTTTTCCTTTAAATTTTGTGCTTATCTAAAACAATCTTTCTGCTTTGATATTAGCTCCATTAAGTACTGCCAAGGTGGGGGGTACAGCTCTTACTAAATCCTGCAAGCCCTTTTGCAGTGGTCAAAAGATACAGTATCCCCCCAGGAACACTCAGACCCAGCCCCTGTTGCTGACATAGGGCTGACATTACTGACTTCCCTGGGTATTTGTGGAGCAAATAGAACTTAAACTCCACTGCTCTCGGAGATACCAGAGACTCTCCCAAAAAAGAGCACAGCTATCTTATCTTAGTGCACCTGCCAAGCCTTCAAAATGGATTTCTCTTTCACTAGTTGCTTAATTTCATCTTTATGCCTTATAAGCAGATTTGTACTTTTTCCACTCTTGAACAAGAAGAGGGGAGGCAGGTTAGTGTGGATGCGGAGCTCAAAAAAAATCCAGAGAAAATCAATATTTTTATAACCTCAGGGGACTCCCTATCTTTTAGGAAGGGTACAAGAAAGAAAAAAATGAAAAGGCAGCAAGGAAGAGGGGGCTTCACTAGATGGAAACATTTCTATGCAAATGTGAAGATTTACAGGTCTTTATTCATCTTATCCCCTCAGGCTATACAAAGCATTAATTAAAAGTCAGTTATTTCCAAGCATATCTGCCTTGCAGGTACAGTCTACCTAACTGGCACAACAGAACAGAGATCTCCATGTGTCAAGCAACCTGGTTTGTCTAACACCACTACTGCTCCATCCTGGCAGCTCATGGATATTGTCACACAGAGCACCATCACAGGTACCTGCAACATGCAAGAAACACTGGGCTCCATCTCAGATTTGTCTTCTTTTTTCCTCCCCCATCACATGGATAGACAACAGAATGAATGAAACCAACTCAAAGCAAAGGGAATTCTCCTTACCCAAAACACTGAAGCCTGGGAGACAAACCCAGCAAGCACAGCCTGGGAAACAACCCCTGGAATAAGTAGATATCACTACAACTCACTTGCCGTTGATGACTCCATCTGGATTGAGCATGGGGACAATCTTGAAAATGAAACATTTCCTCAGGAGATCAGCAATGGGATCACTGCTTACAAGGAACTCCAGAGTCCCCTTCATTACCCAGCTGGCATTACTTTCACCAGGGTGAACTCTCGCCATTAGAAATACATACGGACGGCTGTCTGTAAAACAAAAGCAAAAACTAGACAGGACTTCTTTGAATTTTATAGCATGTGCTAGTTTCATCCCCATCCCTTTGCTTTTTTACTTCCATGTAGTCTTGTATACATTTACATGAACCACTAGAAGACTTTCGCATGTACAGATTACTCTGTGACATCTGCCTGTTTTCAGCCAGTTCTCGAATGTTTGACCCTATCAAACTGCACTAAAAAAGGCAGCTAGAAATTATTTCATTTTATAAAGCCCTATTTTACTTTCATTTTTCTCCATTAATGATTAATAACTCTTCAGAGACCAACACAGATCTGGCCACCTACACAAGGGTTCCAAGGCCTGCAAACTGTCTGATCTTTAGCAGTACCTGTGTTGTAGGGTCACTTGGATGAAACTAAAAGAGGAAAAGACAAAAATGTCACCCCAATAAGCTACAGAGAGACTGAGTCTCAGATGGTAGCAATTGCAACCTACATAGCCAAGGCTCCACTTTTGGTGGAGTTTTCAGTTGTTTGGCTTGAACAGAATTTAACAGCTAGGACTCAGGTTTGTGAAGCCAATTCTCAGAAACTAACTAGAACAGTTCAGTTGTTTTGAGTAATGTATTTGCGAGAAGACACAGTGTATAGGGATTTCAGAGGTGGGAGGATCCAGGCTTTAAAAAAGTCTTACAGTTCATTGATAAGATCTGATGAACCTATGTTTTGAGGCAGACTTTCAGTTTGGCAGGAAAAGTTGTCCTGCTTTCAGATGTGTTTGTTATTCCTGTGAAAAAGCACCCACATTTGGCCTCGTTGTAAGTCTCCAAAATTTCAGTATAAATATGTTCAAAGAAAAAGAACACACACTAACAAATTTGACAACAGATTTTCTGGAGCTCCCATCTGTGCTGAACAGAATCCATGGATGAGCCAAGGAGGATCTGGAAACAGGAGAAGGTAGAGAAAGACACCTGGCAGTAACAAGAAAGCAATTTTTGAGAGTGTTCATTGTCCTAAGTCCATTTAACAGCTTTGCTTTTGTGCAAAAACATATTTGTCAAGGTATTGCACTGATGTCAGGATGTTTTTGTCCTGTTCCATCACAGAGCTCCAGAACTCACCTCTGCTCCTCTGCACAAACTGAGGGGACCTCAGTGACAGCCCTTTGGAGGGGTATCAAGACAGAAAGCACAATCCTTCCAAAAGCATCATCTGACTGCTACGCTGTGAACAATAACGTTGTAAACAAGTGCCAAATTAGCAGCTGGTTCTGCTTTGCCCTTACCTCCCAAAGCTGTTTCCAAATTCTGTTTCCAGAAGCTTTGCAAAGAAATTAAAGCATTAATCAGCTAATGTGATATAAGGAGGTAGAATATCCATATAGATGAAAAATATATATGCATTACAGAGTTGTATTGCAGTTTGTCCATTCAGAGCAGACTAAGTGAAGTTCCTCCCTTCCCAAAGAAAGGCAGTTAACTGTTCTCCACAGTTGTGCAGGCAGTTATGTCCATCAGGATGAGACCCAGAGTTAGAAGCAGCAGCCCCCATATCTCCCTCTTCAGCAACTGCACTAAAAAGGGCACTAAACACACTGAACTACACTGAGCTTGGAGCAATCACATATTGTGTGTTCAGCAGAGCACTTAGAACTCGTTAGCCACCAACTTGTTTAATATAATTCTTGCACCTTACCTTGTTGTGAGGTTACATGAACACTCATTGATCAAAATATACTAAATGTATAAAAATACTAAATATACAAAAAAAATCCTTCACCCCCTGCAGAACTACTAGCCATTCTGATTTCTTTTCCTCCAAAATTAGAGTACAAGATTTCTAATCTACTCCAGCTACATGTTGCACATTGCAGGCTACCTGAAGGGTTTAAAATAACAGTAAGCAAAAAAACAGCTTTTGCAAAGACATCAGCTGCGTTTTGCCATTTCCAAACATTTTCTTTCTCCCATCATTATGATTTAGTGCTGCTTTGCAGGCTCATTGCTAAGCTAAACTTATGGGACTCTGCTGTTGTAGCTGAGAATGAGGCTCCTGAGGACTCCTAATGGACAACAGCTGTAAATAGCACAAAGCAAAATAAAACATGTTCTTTTGCAATTGATGACTACAGCTTTAACAACTCTTATCTCTTCTTTATGTGGGGAGAAAGCACAGCATATTAATTGAGAGATTCTTTCCTCTATTGAAATAAGAAAAACAAGATCACACCAATACTAAGGAAAGGGCTGCCTCACCTCAAAAATCTAGAAAAGTTTGACATAATTGCAAAGTACAGTGGGACTAGCAGAAACCCCTGTTCTGCGCCTCCCAAGGCTTACACAGAGTCACACCCATCTTCCTTTGATTCAATGGCAGAAAAGCTTCCGAAGTGTCCAGACCTAGGAATGGGTGGCAGGAAGGAGACCAGGAAAACATTTATCTGCTACTGTTCTGCACAGATGACAAAGGATGGACCCATCCACAGCCTGTAGGACTGAAACGAATCTCTCTATTCAAGCTAAACTTTCCTTAAAAGCTCCCCAGCCTGGAAACACAAATTCCTGATAAGCACTTGCACATCTCAGACATCCCAGCCACAGGAGAGTCATAACAGAGGTATGTACCAGCAGGCAAACCACAGATCTTGTTGAGTGCCTGTTCCCTTCACAGAAGCCATCGTAGCCAAATCCCATGTCCAATTGCCACGCTCCTGCTCACTGCACCCAACATGAAGTCTAATGAAGCAGCACATGGAGCAAAGAGCTGACAACACGGCCATAAAACTTCCCTTGAAATATCTGGAAAACAGATTTAACTGTTGCAGGCAGGAATCACTCAATCCTGTACTTTAAAATATATCCAGTTACTCCACTACTTACCTGCCTTGAATTTGTCACCATAAACATCATTGCTCATGAAAGCACAGATGGTGGTGTTGGTCAGTAATACCCAGTACAACAACTGGCAGGCACCCATGTAGGGTCCTGCACTTTGCTGAGCTATTTTCTTTCTTTCTCACTTTCAATACCTCCATGATCACAGTCCTGACCAGAACAGTGGTTTTGTATTAGCAGAATTCTCATGCAAGTCCAACACCCATCTAGTAGCCACCTGGTCTCTGTTTTAATCCTGAACCCCTCAAGACGGTCTCCCATACCCCACCGCATGTATCCTCAGACACCCAGCCACAAGCACACTTGTACATTCTTCAAGGCCCAGAACTGAGCTCAAGCCTTCAAAGTCCTCAGGCCAGCGCTCCGGCAGACTCCTTCCCAAGTCCTGGGGTTGCTGCCAGAAAGCTCCACTTAGCCATTTATCTCTGCAAAGCCCATGTGACACTGAACCTTCTTCGGGAATGTAAATAATAGAGAGAAAGCACAGGAATCTTTTCATGCTACATAAAGTTTCATCCAACAGATCATTTCGTGTTACACTGTAGTACATTTTGACATACCCAGAATATAACATGGCATCAAGGTGAGAGATTAAAGTATCACTGATTCTCCTCTTGCAAAACTTTGAGCAAAAACTCCTTGAGTAATAATTCTAACATATCACCTCCTTCCCATCTTGCCTTTTTTCCCCCCTCCATTCATTTTGGCTGCAGATATTTACATGAAAATAAGAGCTTTGTTCTCCCAGTACTGCTAACTTACTGCTTAGTCCCCACCTGCTGTAAGGACTCTCCCCTAGTCACATCATCAACATTTAGAGAAGATATTTTGAAGCCACTAATTGTGACCTGGGCTGACAAGGAAGCAGCCTGAAAGAACTGAGCAAAATCCCTTAGCACAGCAGGAGGGCAGCACAGAAAGGAGACTAAGTGCAATTCCAAATACCCTGACCCAGACTGAAGTTTTAAGTTATTTCAAGCCAAGATTTGGACCATGTCATTTGTAAAGGGCCAGGTTATTGAGCGCCACCATGCTGGGATTTTTCTAAGGTGCCAAAGGGAATTATATGCACATCATAAGAAATCCAACCTAGATCCAGGTCTTGATGGAAGTGTTTTTGGCTGTGCTTCTGCATACCTCTTCCCTTTGGCACCCAGGGCTGTCTAAACACAGGATTTTCTTCCCCCTCATGCCTAAATACAACATGACTTTATCATGAGCATTACACAAATCAAAGGGTCAGGTTTAGCCCAGGACATAGGTAAGAAACCAAGCAAGCTGATCTCCTCCTTCCCAACCTAATCAGCTGTGACCTCTACAGAAGATTCTTTGCAAGTCAAATGATGGGTAGACAGGAGCACCACAGCAAAGCTCTTCCATGCATGTCACGGCTATATCCTGCCCTGAATATATCTGATATGCTCCAGGCTGCAGTTACACAAAGCCAGTGAGAAGACAGGATATGGTGTGATGTACAATGAATATATTAAAGTATGTTTGTGAAAACATCAAATACTGAAATCACAGAAAACATGAGACTGATTTGAGGCAGCATCTGTGCCACTCACTTTATTCCTCTCCTAAAAACTTTTCCTTCAGTTGTCAGTCTTTCAGCTGCCTTAAGACACAGTAATTCTTTCCTCCCCCTTCTCACCCCTCTGCTGTCTCCTTGCTGACCCTGCTTTGGGCTAAATGCTCCAGAAGCAGACACATCTCATGACACAGACAGAATACAGAGCCTGCCAGGACCAGCTTCTGCTTTCCAGAATTATCAATGAGCTGTTCCTCCTTTAAACACATCTATGCTATATGCATTATTACCCTTACCTGTGGCAAAGAAAGGGACATTACAAATTGCCTGAGCCACGGGCTGCCTGTCCTAAACCTTCATAGCTTGGTGGGGGTATTTCAAGCTCCAAGTTGCTTGGCAACCTCTTTTTGTGCATGTTTTATATACGAATTCATTCGCCTTTGAATTAGAGATGTTCAGAGATGATCAGGGAGCTGAATAAGGGCACAGACCGCCCAGCCTCGGTGCAGCCTGACATCCTACCACTGCTATCACTGATGCCAGGAAACTGGTGAGCAATTTTAAAAAACTATTTTTGAGGTAGACGCCAAAGTGCCAAA